TTAGGGAATAGGCCGGCAAACCAACAGAACATAACGCGAGCCAGTAGGTTTATGTACAGCCGAGCAAACAGAAACAGAAAAATAAATGGACAGACAGGCCAGGGAAGTAAGAAACTAAGAAACGGACAAACTGTAAAGTTCATGTAGTAGGTTCATATGTGGCTTTACATCCCGCATTCTGCTTAACGATGAAAAATGTTGAAGCCGCACTGTTTGAAATTAGAGAGAGCGAAAAAAAAGATGCAGTTATTTTAAGTTCCATATATGAAATCAGAAAGATGTAAAGTCAGACCCTCATTGCACACAAAAAAGAGTAAGAAACTATCGAAGCCAAAATTAGCAATTGCTTCTTTAAACCACGTCCTTTAAATTTCGTAATTTAATCTCTTAATTATGGACGATCATAGGGGGATGCAGGGAAGAATGGAGCTGCCGGACGCGATGGAGCAAAAGGAGAACAGGTGTGTGGAATGTATGACACTGCTGCCCTTTATAATAGTTGCTTCTCTTAGTAGTGGCCAGAATTTCTGTATATTAACAGCTTAATATATATTTATCTTAAGGCTAGAGAGCAAAGTGACATCCCAGATCCTAGTGCGACTGCCTATATTGTAAACCCAGAGTAGACCATATATGCGTCAAAATGTGCCTGTTATTAAAGGAGCCACGCCATGGCTTGCGCTTCTTGAAAAATTTATCCTAAATGTTAAGTTTTTAAGTTTTTGAAATCTGTGTTAATCTTCTCCATCCTCGACCATCCTTGTTCCTTTATGGTATATTATTATCTCTTTGTTGCTTTTCTATCTTGGTAAACTATTATTTTCAGGGTTCTTTCAATTTAATGGTAATTTTATACATGGCCAAAATAACTCAAAATACCGTGACTGAACGCCTTTATGCTTTTGAAAAACCAAAAACTCTCTTCTTCCGTCTATTTTATCGCGTACAGTTCATACATGTATGTATCTTAATGTACTTTAAGACATGTAGTAGAATTTGAAATTGCCTGGTGCAAGTGATATACAGTCGAACTTCCACTAACAGCCACCTCTCTACAACGGCCACTTATTTTGGTCCTGGCGGACAGTTTATACATTCACTCTTATTTTATCCTCTCAACAACGGCCACCTCTGCACAACGGCAGCGGCCACTAAAACGTGTTCCAACTGAAATAACCTCTCGACAATGGTCAGTTAAACAATGACTGACGAAAGGTGTAAACAAAACCGTGTTGTTATTGTAAAAGGTCACGAAACTTGATCTGTACCGTGCAAGGTACCCTAATGGTGTCATGTTACACCCTTATCTCCCCATAACGGTCACCTCTCTACAACAGACTCTTCCCTCTGTCCCCAAGGTGGCTGGTTTTGACAGGTTCGGCTGTACTTGTATCTCTATGCACAGGGGTCCACAGAAAATTGAAACGTAAACTTGCTGTTTTGATTGTTCATCTAAGGGTTGTAATACTGATCTGTTATCGAAATAAATAAATACTGATCTCATTATTATCGAAATAAATGTCCTTCTATCTTGAGAAACATGTGCCAACAAGGTGCAGTTGTGACTGCAGCTGTCAATGTATATTTCCCAACATTTTGAAAAGTTTGTACAATGCTAACTGAGTCACTTTTGAATATTTTCCTTAGGGGTCTCAAGGAGAACCTGGGAATCCTGGTCGTGCAGGTGGCAGGGTGAGTACACAATAAACTATGATATCAGATTGTTAAGCGCGAACTTTAAAGTGCCACTGTGATCTGATTCTTGATATCCATTTTTTTTACATTTTCGTACGCAATAGGTCTTTCCTAGATATCTTGCGAAATTTCAATCTATTACGAACAGTAGAACTCACGTTTTTTTGGACCTTTATTTTCGAGAAATTACGGCCACCATTAATTTTCCTTGTTCCAAGTCTTGGTTGAGAATTGGAGTAAATGACGTCATTTTCTCAAAAGTACCACACGGGTTGAAATTATAACAATAATTAGAGTGGAAAATTGCACGGATATAAAACCCAAAGTTTTTGTTATTGGTTATGGGAATTGCTGTACTATTTCTCTAATACGGTATAACAGTGAGCTTGGTAGAAATAGCGTATAAGGTATAGTGGCCCCATGGTATGGAATGCCATCCTTAAAGTAATAAGGGGCGCTTCATCCTTACAGCTTTTTAAAGGAAAACTTAGAAATGCCTCCAGGTCTCTCGACCGTATACAACTTGAAAAAGAGGCTTGTTTAATTAGTTCTAAAACCCCGTCTTTATATATTTTTAAGATTTTCATTCTTTGTATAAATATAAGTAATGTTATTATATGGCTTTGGCTTGTGGCCGATATAACGGGCGTTCTGATTGGTTAAGAGCGAGATTTGAGCGGTCATTGTGCAGCCGCAATGCCCACGGGCCGATTACGGATTATGCAAATTAGGAAGAGCCCGGCTCTGAAAATTCGAGCGCATTGAAACGATGAAAGCCGATTAAAAACAGTAAGAGAAAGTAAATTTAATCTGAGTAGCTAAAAGTTTAGAAA